CTTCCTAGCTTCCAGCAGGATGCACCATCTGGAATGACTGGGCCACTTTACCAGGCTGGATTAGGGAGGCAGGCATGTAAAGGAGGAGCTGCATTGGAAGAGCAGGCATGTCTATGGACCCAGAATGCTGGATGGTGGGGGCTCCAGGCCAGCATCCATGGAGAATATTGGTGTTATCACTCAGTTTTGACCTTAATCGGATAGGCTACTTGTCTCATAAGCTCATCCCTGTACCATTGTTTTCTTTTATTTCTCTGCTGATCCTTTTATTTTATTTTATTTTATTTATATTATTTACCCTCCTCTCCGTGCTATCAATGCTGGTAGGCTTTGTTTTGTTCTGTTCTGTTTTGTTTTCAAGTTTCTGAAAAAGTAATCCTGTTCTGTATCCAGATATGCTTTATTTTTTTGGTTTAAATCCATCAACTGTCTCCTGCAAGCCTTAGAAATGGGATAACAATTCTTCTTAGAGCAGCTGTGGACATGCCCCGTGTCCTTGAAGTGAAGGGCACACGATCCACACCCAGCCAGCATCAGTGTCCTTTTTAATCCTCTTAGCATCTATAGGGCACAACAACACAATGCCAAAAAGGCCTGAATCTGCATTTGCCGTCTAGCAGGATCGCCTTGAGAATTAAATGCAGTCAAGCCAGGTCTTACACAGAGGAGCGGGCAGGACATTTTCACCAACGAGTACCGCAGAGCCACAGAAGGAGGAAGCCAAAAAACCGATGCAGACGCAAAGCAACTGTCTTCATTTGGGGTTGATTTGTGTTCGAGAGAAACTCAAGCAAAGGGTAGCACATGTGTTAGTGATGGTTTAAACGGAGCGTGTTTGTTTTAGAAGTGATGAAGTGATTTTTCTCATTGGCAAGAGAGAAGGAGAGAGAGAGGTGGACATTTAGAAGACAGAAAGGTGTCTTGTGACAGAGGATGGCCGCAGGGCAGGCCTTGTCCCAAAGTGGCCTTGCTGGAGTGAACTGGAGTGATTTTCGTGGAAAAGTCACCAGATTGTCTTCATTTTTATCCTTTTTTCTTGCAACCATGGTGGCCATTTAACCTTGTGATTTCTGTACTGGGCATTTTCCTTTGTACTGAAGTGGGGGAGCTTTAGTGGGTTGGATACTATGTTGCGGAAGTATTCCTGTCCTGTGTCCTGTTCTGTTCTGTAAGCCCAGTAAGGCAGCTGCTACAGTGACCTGAGTTTTACAGATAAATATCTGACATTCTAAGGAGCCATCTGGTTAGTTCAGCGCCATTCAGATAGTGAATGGCAGAGCCAGGTAAGATGATCCCCTAGGGGATTCCCGCTCATTCCCAGGCCAGACTGTATAAAGCCACTGCTGGGCTCCTCGAATGGTCTGTACTTGTTGGAGCCATCAAGACTCTTGAATGAACTCCTTGTTTTTTGTTTGGATCATCTTTGTAGACATTGAAAATATCCTGATCTGGCTAACTAACGTGTGTGTGTGTGTGTCTGTCTGTCTGTGTCTATCTGTGTCTGTGCGTGGTGTGTATGTGTGTGTGTCACAGTGAGCTTGTGGAGGTCAGAAGACCCCCAGGGAGCCTCCCCTCTCTGCCCTCTAGTGCTGAGATTGTAAGCACACCCTGCCACACCCACCCTTAATGTGACTTCTTCAGATCATGCTTGGCTGGCAAACACTCCACCAAACTGAGCCGTCTCTCCAGCCTCTATTTCTTTACTTGTGAAAAAGATACACTCAGAAATACAGATTAAGTTTACAGATTAATAGATAATTATAAAGGAACCATCCCTGTCACCACCAGTGAATTTTTGTTTAGACTATGGAAGACCAAGGATATGCCCTTTTCTGATCAAAACCAACTCCCCACCCCACTGTACACACTTCTGGCGGTTGTTCATCAGTCTGTATTTTTGTTTTGTATATAATTGTGTGTTTGCATTTTTGACAGTTCAAACAATTTATGTCTATCACTAAATAATGAATGGTTGGACTTTATCTGAGTGGGAATGTGGTGAATATAGCGCCTTTTGTCTTCCTCCTTTTCTTCAGTGGCCTGCTGTGACCTTTGTATTGTTGAGTGCAGCTGTACTTGGCTCATTTTTGTTAGTTGTTTATGCTGTTGTCATTTTCTCATTCTTCCATAAAAGGAGGTCTGCGTTGTTTTGAGTTGGGGGTCATTGTAATGTGGCTGCTGTGGTCTGCATACCTAATATGTATGTGTGGGTTCTGTAGGACATATTCCAGGTGGGGAATTGCTGGGTCGTGATGGAGGGATAGCATCTTCATTAATTAATGATAGTCTTTTGTTTGTAGCATGCTTTTGTTAAAATTCCCCTCCAGCTATACAGGTCTATATGATGTGTGCACGTTCTCTTTGGTTGGCCCAGCTGCCCTCTTGTATAGTGCTTTCTAGTGTTTGCCAAGCCGGCGGCTGTGTGAGAATGTTGTGCTGAACCCCGTGATACTACAACCACTCTGGAGACTTTCCATGCGTTTCTGCCACTCCGACTCTTTCACCCGTCTTTCTTTGAAACCCTCACAGTTGGTCTTAGTTCCGGTTCTGAAAGTGAAAAGCCGACAGGATCCCACGATGCACCTTTGCATTCTAATGCTGACTCTAACACCAAGATCACCGTGGCATCTAAGCTACCCAAGGGAAAGCAATGTCTCTAATATGGATGTCTGTTAGGCTATTCCCACTGGAAACTAAGAATGTTCCACTGTGCTCTCAAACCTCCCAGGAGATCTAACAAGGCGTGCGTGATTCCTCAGTGGCTTTCACCCATAAAGGTGGAACCTGCAGATATGGCTGCAGAAGACTGGCTGTATCTCTGTCGACCTGTGAGGACAGTCATATATGCCATCAAAGGAAATAGACTTTGACCCGAAAGGAATGTTAGTGGTCTGTTTTGTGACGACAGTGTACAGAACTCATTTCTTCAGAATTCCTCTTTTGTTCGATGCCAGGGTTTGCTATCGGAAAACCTAATCCATTCAGTAATTTCTTCCTTCTTTCTTCATTCATCCACCCATCCACCCATCCACCCACTAGTGAGTACCTGTTTGGGGGTGTGGGAAATAGGCTGACGGATAGGATGGATATGATGTCTCCTGCCCCCCCACCCCGTGCTTAGCCTTCACACTAGCATGGGGCACTTCCGGACAGGATGCTGGAACTGTAACTGGTGGACGTTTGCCCACTTTTTCCTCCATCATCATTGTTGTCTATTTTTAGTAACAGAATAAGCCCCCCCCTAAGTATTTTTTTCCTAACACGATCTCAGCAGAAATTTAAAGCGCAAACCAGGTTAAAGAAAAATGTACTGTGTTTGGTTCAACGCAGAGCAGCTCAAGTCCTGCCATCTAGTGCAAAGTTCCTCTCACATACTCTAGGTAGCAGCCTGGCTTAAGAGCCAGGGGCCTTACCCCCTGTCCTTGGCCTGCCGTGAATTCACACTCCGATGGAGTGCGTGACTGTTCCCTGCTCTCAAGTATGATGTGCAGACCTCATGAACCGCAGAGGTAGGAGCAGGTGCCCTTCTCATCCCTTTCCCATTTTTGCCCCAGACCTCTGTGTCTGGCACCTATAAATGAGACCCTATAAGGGAGCTCTCCAACTTAGGTCCTTTGCGTTTTACCTTCCCTGTCCCAGCTGAGATGCTAACAAAGGGACCTCAGAAACAACCCATGTACCCCACAAGAGGTGTATGGAACAGGGACTAGAAACACAGCAGGTTAGAGTTGATTTTGCAAATTTTGTTAACTTGGAATTGCATAATCATGCTTCATTTTCCTATGGATAGAGGGCATTGTTTCCACCATAATCCGAGATTGGTGCAGTTTTGCCTCTGGCAAGCTGAGATGCTGGGGCGCCAGCAGCAGTGTGGACACACATCTGTGCCCATGAACTTACCCAGCCTCTTTGTTTGGCTTCTCTCTTTCTCCGCTCCTGTAACAACTTTGGTAATGTGTGCCCACATTGCACAGTGATGTTGTATTGAGCACGGCCCACATGTGGTCTCACTGGGAATGCAGTAAAACATTCCGGCTTTTCGTGTAGCTGTGTAGAAAAGGGCCGAGTCCTTAGAATAGAACAGTGCTCAAATCTAGAGCCCAAGTGGTCAGCCTGCCCACACGGACTCCGTTAGCTCTGTGGCTTCCCCACGAGCTTTCCATTTCTGAACTCCTTGCTCTACTTCTTTTCTCGTGTACATTTTAATCCCTTTATCGTTCAACTCAAGGACAAGAACGAAAAAAATATAACAAATGCTTACTCAATAGATAGGGAAGGTACTGGGGTGGGTTAAGTGTGCCTGGAATTGTCCAGTGGGGAAGCTCTCTTTGGCACCCATTGTGCTTAAGGGTTATTTATTGAATTGGAATGCCTTTAGACCCTGCAGACGCTTGCCTGTTGGGCACACTCCCCACCATTCTGTATGGCCTCTCACTCCCGCCTTCTTCCGTGTCTCTACATTACCGGCCCACTTGTGAAGCCAGTCTGGCCTCTGTTGAATCCCACAACTATTTATTTCAGTTTGCTTTTCCTAAAAGTGTGCAATTCAGAGTCCCGGAGGCCTGAAAAAGACACTGCTCCTTTGTGGGTGTTTCGATGCAAACACAGCGCTTATCTATAGAAAGTGGTTGCAGAAATTTAGACTTATGGCCAGGAAGGATGTGTCATGCCAACCAGTCGTTCTTCCGGATTGACAGCAGGATCCTGTAGGCTCCGTATGTAAATGTGTGGAGTTTGCCTGCATGGTTGGTTGTGAATCGTAGAGCTTGGTGCTCTTGGAGGTGAGCGGTGGCTTGAAAAAGAGGTCTTTGTGCCTCCCTTTACAGATGGCAAACAGCCTTTCCAGATCTTTCTGTTCCCTTCTGTATTACCCTTTTGTCACACTTTATAGGCAGGTTCTTCTCAGTTGAACATAGATGCTTCTGTGTGTGGACTTTACCTGACTATTGGAAGCTTCCTTTTCTCTTTTAATAAAATCCTCTTTTTCTCTCATTTCTCAGCAGATATCTGGAGTGATCACTCATTTCAGACAGATCCAGATTTACCGCCTGGCTGGAAAAGAATCAACGACATTGCTGGAACCTACTACTGGCACATCCCGACAGGAACAACCCAGTGGGAACGACCTGTCTCCATCCCAGTGGATATCCAGGGTTCTAGGAAAGGGTCACTTAGCTCTGTGACGTCATCTCCCACCCCAGAGAATGAGGTAAAGTGGAGTATCTTTTTACATGCTCAGTAGATGTAACTCAGTTTCCCTTTAGACTAACAGGCTCTGCCCCGACATGTCACCTGAGGGAAGCCTTTTGATGGCCATTCATGTTCTATTTGAGAGCTCAGTAACGCATCCTCTTAGAAAATGGTGTTAATGCATGTCGTTCAGGGCTGTTTTCACTTTTAATAGATTCTGTCCGCTTGAAACCCCATCCTAGGTACCGAAACAGGAGGAGCTGATTAATGGGAAGTGGTTAAGTTTCCCTGGGGCTCGTGGAGGCTGCAATTTACTCTGCAGGTGCCATTGCATGATGCTGGATCCATGAAATATTCACGCATAAAAGAACATCTCTTGGCCAGACGTGTTATAATCACCACGTGTCTTATTAGGCTTGGGTTCATTTGCTAGCGTGCAGAAGACGTCTTGCAGGAATAACCCTCGAGAGCACTTAAATGCTTAATTCCTATTTAAGGAGAAGAAAAGAGATGTGTTTGTTTAGCAGAAGTGACATTATTTTGGAAATAATTAGCAGCGTAAATTCCGGGTATCCCTGAGGAAGAGATTGGGATGTTTAAACAAAGAATTGAGGCCTTAAAAAAAAAATCTTGTGATATCCATTCATGTAATGATTCCCGCAGCAAATATTTGTCAGTGATAGCACACTCAAGAGAATTATCACCAGGAAGGTCACAATCATGTGACAGCTCACTTCATTCATTCATTCATTCATTCATTTATTGCTTATTGCTATTGATGACTCCTCTAGCAGGCTCTCTCTTCTGCCCTCTCCTCTTTCTCCTGATGATAATCCTTTGTTCTTTAAACAAACCCATTTTCTTTTGGTTTGAGAAGTGAGAGCCTTTGAACTCTACCCCTAACTGGCCAAACTGTCCCTCACCCGCCACTCCAATCGTCCGTCCTGCCTTTTAAAGTAGCCTGCGTCTCGTCCCTGGCTTTTCTGATTGGTGACCTGTTCTTCTCTGGGAGGCAGTAAGACTGGTATTGTACCCAGCTTTCTGCTTTAGGGGGCTTGGACTTCTCTTTCCCAGCCCTAGCCCTGGTTCTCCATCTTTAGACAGAAGGGTTGGCGCTAGGTATGCTGTGTTTGGTAGACGAGACTTTCGGTTGCTTTGGGCTCTGCCCTGGTCGTCAGGCAAGTGATTCAGCCTGAGTGAACCACATAAGATTTTGCTGTTTAGCACTAGATGATTTTGATAGCTTCCCATTGAAGCCTAATAGTTCTACATCCTAAGCAACTTCTCTCCAGTGACTTATTCACCCTGTGTTAGGTGTGCTTGGGATAAAAGTAAGCCAGTGCAGCGCTAGCCTTCAACAGGTTTGATGTGAAGGTGTCTACATCCCGCCCCATCTCAGACACACCCTGGACTTAAACTCTGCACTGCAGATGGGCTCTCTGATGCAGAGTTAGCCAGTATGTGCCTCTGGTCTTGCTGTAACAGGCTGAGTTATTCTATCCTAATTGTTCAGTTGTGTTTGACAGTAGAGAACCCACAACCAGGAAAGCCCATTACAGCTGGGAAAACTAAGACTCAGAGCTCACAGGGACACACAGCGGCACCCAGAGCCTCTGAATCCCTGGCCAGGATTCTTCTCAGTGTCTCTGGCTTTAGGTTTTCAATGTCCTCTGCCTCCTATTGTCCCTAAAGTCGGGAGGTTGAACTAACTCAAGACCCACCCCCTATTCCAGGTGCTTTGTGCCCTCCATACTTAGAAAAAAGTAAGTCCTTCTTTGTGCCTCCTGGGGGCGTCCAAGGAGTGTAATCTGGGGTTGTGTGTATTGGATTTTTATGTCTTTGATTAACATGGTAAAGCTTCATTTCAGTGTTGGCTGTAAATGTCTTAGGAATGTAGTAGGACTGGGCAGCTGGCACTGGGTAAAACTGTCAGGGAGTAGACGGTCCCTCTCATCCCTGAGGCTCTTGGAGTTCACTCTTGCCTGTTCTTTCCCATTCTGTGCCTGCCTCCCCCCCCCCCCCCCACTGTCCAGGGCCCCTTCCTAGGCTCCATAGGACTTAACTCTTTTTCTTCTCCTTTGGAGCGTTCAGCCTCCTTGTTGCTTATGAAGAATTGTTGGGTCTGAATTGTTGAGTACCTAGTGTTAGAGCACTTACCCAGCATGCACAGGGAGCTGGCTTCTGTCCCAGCACTGCAAGGGACAACTTTAGAGTAGTATTTTATAAACACTGTGTTTGACCCCTCTAGGACTCTGCCATGGCAGAGAAGGTGGCCTCTGAGAGTCAGGAGTTGAGTGGCCATGTTGGAAGTCGTACTGGTCCCCTGACTCTACCCTGCATTCTGCCCTCTCTTGCTTCCATGTGTGCTTACTATGCAGTTTTCTCCCTCAATGGAACTTTTTTTAAAAATGAATAGTTTTAGAAGTTTCAGACAGGCAGTGACTGACTCATACCCAGCCTTTGTTTGGTTGTTTGCAGACTTACTTGTTTATGTTTTTACTGTAATGCTGGAGATCCAACCCAGAGCCTCATGCCCGGCAGGCAAGCACACTACCACTACCATTTTGTTGAATACTTACTGGTTCATACATTCATGTGTTCACTCATGCATCCATTCTGGTACCAAGAACGAAAGTCAGGACCTCACACAGCTACCAAGCAGCATTGCCTAGGCCACCAGCCCTTTGATGGACAGACATTTCTCAGATGAGTAGCTAGCTGTTCCTCAGGTGAACCTTTGGGTTGTTTGCTTCATGCCCGGTTTCCCCCATACATGAGGCATCCGCTAAGCCAGACGTCCCCGCAGACTGCAGAGGCCAGTACATTGTCCTTCCAGCAGCAAAGGGATGAGCGGACAGAAAGGAGATGAAAGTGGGGGAGGCAGCCTGCCACATAATGTACCCAGGGCATGGGAACATTGAGGGTGACCCCACAGCACGGGCCCCAATAGGGTGCACATGTGTTCAGGGCCCGGCTGGGGTCTTGTCCCATGATTCCCACAAACACACACCTGTCACCAAGGGTGGTTGTCACTTCCGTTTTAATGTGACGTGGAAAGGTTAAGTGGCTTTCATAAGATAACCAAGATAACCGAGCTAGTATTGGCAGAGTTAACCTTGAACTTTGAACCATTGCCCCCTGCTCCCACCCGGGACTGGACACACCATATTGCGAAGCGTGGAGATTCTCAGATCTCCACATCTCACCCACAGGGAGGACTGTGTCACACGCAGAGCCACCCAGAAAATGATTTCTTAATGACATCGTCCCAGGTGCCGATGACAGCGGAAGAGAAATGACTGTTTCTCCGGCTCCAGCTCTTTGATCCCTAAATAGAATCTATTTCAACTAATTTCAAAACATGAGAGAAAAAAAAGAGCAGAATGTTGAGAGAGAGAGAGAGAGAGAGAGAGAGAGAGAGAGAGAGAGAGGGAGGGAGAGGGAGAGAGGGAGAAAGAGAGAGAGAAGTAGCTTGTGATGTGTCCCAGCAGAAATGCATGTTTTCACTGAGCTTTCTCGTGAGCTGGCTGGAAAAGAAAAATCAGACAAATAAGCGCCAAATCTGTTGACGGCGCAAAAACTTTAGGACCGCAGGCTTCCTTACAGTTTGAAAATTTTACATTTCACTTTCCAAAGTTCACCCGGGAAGTGTTAAGCACATCGAATAATGTTTCCAGCGCACGTGCCAGCCGGTATTTTTGAAAGTTTATCAACTGGCCGAGAAGTATTTGCTACTGAAACTTGGCCCACATCACTGTTCCTCCCCTCCCCTCCCCAACCATTTACTTGTTCCAAATTACATCTGAAATTATGTGGATTTGGAATTTTAAAAAGAGGGGAGGGGCATGCAAGATATATTTTATGAATAGCTCTTGGCCCGGGGCCAAAATTTGCTAGAATCTTCCTGTGGAGATTTCCTGGTTTTCTTAAGAAGTGTGGAGAGTGGGACCCTCAGAGGGGACCATGTCTCCTTAAGTCTCTCTGCTTGCTAACACGCTTGTGACCACTGGCTACCTAAACAGTTCTAAGCCCCAGGGAGAGCACCATGTCCATCCTCAGAACCTAGGTATTTCCATGTGTCCCTGGGGTAAGGTTGCCACATCAAAGGACCGTTCTGTTCATTTCACCAAATTACACAGCCCAGTCAAGTGAATATGGCACCCAAGGGCAGGAAAGAACCTCAGAGATGGGCCTTGTAGATGCCAGGGCAGCGTCTCCCAGCCTGTGAGCTGAGGGCGAATTCCTGGACCTTTCGTTTGTTCGGTGCTCCAGATGCAGAGCGCTACAGAGATTTGTAATGAGCAGAAACATATTGCCTCATAGGCTGGGGTCCGGGTTTGAGAAACTGCTCTAATGAGAGCCTTCTTGCTGCTGCCTCATCCTCTGAGCAAAGAGGAGACCAGAGGACGGACTGGGGCTGTTAAGTTTCAGCATGTTGGTAGTTAGCATTAATCTCCCAGCGTGGAGCTGATGACCTCACCACCTCCATTAGGCCCCATCCCATCCCCAGCACTGCTACACTTGGGATTATTTCCCACACAGGGTTTTAAAAGGACCCATCTCAGCCATAGCACATGGTAAAGACGGCTTCCTCCTAAGGCTTTCCAGCCCCTGAGAATCCATCCTCAGGAACACCCTGCTGGCTTTTCCAACTGAGGGTCATTGGTCTGTTTCTCTTTGATTTCCAGAGTTGTTAGCATCATATTTGGAGCAATGGATGCTGCACCCTGAGCATCATATTAGGAGCAATGGATGCTCCACCATAGGCATCATATTTGAAGCAATGGATGCTCCACCATTGGCATCATATTTGGAGCAATGGATGCTCCACCATTGGCATCATATTTGGAGCAATGGATGCTCCACCATTGGCATCATATTTGGAGCAATGGATGCTCCACCATTGGCATCATATTTGGAGCAATGGATGCTGTACCCTGAGCAGGATAAGGACTAGGAGGCAGTCCAGCTACCCCAGGACATCTCGTGGCCATGCCAGACTTCAGCCACTCTGCCTAGAAGGTTCCCATGCGGGTTGCTGCTTGCAGAAGAGGTTCTCTTTCCATTTCCTCTCATCCTATATTGTGTGTCACTTCCTACCTGAAACATACGTCTCACCTCCTGTTTCCTTTTTTGCTGCCTTCTCTTTGCACCGCTCCCATCATCGCTTCCCCATCTTTCCCGTTCTGCACCACAGACTGAAGAAACTGTAGGCTTTCTGTTGAGCCAAAGAACCTCTTGTGGGTTTTTTATTATTATTATTTTATTAGCTAACATTCTTTACTAGAGCAGAGCTGTAGCTCAGGGAGAGTGATTGGCTGACATACTCAAGGCTTTGGCCTTGAGCTGCAGCACTATAAAAACAAATAAACCAGATTATTAAATAGTTAGCTAAATATAGAAAATATTTTCTCTTATTAAAAATAATTAGCTATACCATGTTATTAAAAATTTAAGAAAAGGTATGTATTGTTCTTTGTTTAAAAAGGGGGGAAAAGAAAATTTATGGTTACTTTTACCATAAAGGAAAATTTTCATCTTTGATATCAATGAATTGTTTTAAAATGGGGCTTAAAAAGAAATACCTTTGGCTCAGTCGGAATGAGCTTGCCATTATTCCTCACTTGAGTCTTGCAGTAAATGCTCACCGTTGTTAACCTTCTGCAAAATTCTTGCATAAAGCTTTTGTTTATGTAGACGTAGGTGACTGCTAGGCGGCTGCCAAACGACTCCACAGCACAAGAGCTGGCTTCATAGAGGCCTAGAACCACAGTCAACTTTCCCCTTACAGAGACTCCTGTGTCCAGAGAGCAGAATATAAAAAGGCATAAAATCCGGCACCCACACAGAGGCCTGTTTTCATTAAGTCCTGAAGTTTTTCTGAATGGTCCATTTAGAATATTCCTCTGTCTTCTCCTGTCCCAACACAGAGCCCTTCTTAGATAATTTCTGATTTTAAGTGTCTGTTTTCAGACATCAACCCCTCCTTCTTTCTCCTCTGTCTGTCTCTCTCCCCCCTCCTTCTTTCCTTTCTTCCTTTTCTTTTCTCCCTCCCTCTCAGCACCATGCCCCCATTCTCTTCTTATTCCCTCTTCTTTCCTCTTCCTTTGAAGTTTCTCCACACAAACATACCTTAGCTTGACTTTCTTCAGATCCTTATCTGATGCCCCTTTTCAAAGTTCAACCTAAAGAAAGAATGGGAGCCGCCCACCCTGCAGCCAGGGTCCTGCTGTGGAGCCGTGGGGGGTACAGCTTGATGTTTCCTTTTGCACTTGCTGCTCACAATTGCCAGGAGCATTTTCTATAGCTCCAGAGCAGTGACTCTGAGAACAGGAATAGGGGGGCTGGAGAGAGAACCCAGATGTTAAGAGGGCTCCCTGCTCTTGCAAGGCAGCCGGGATTGGTTCTCAGTACCCACGTGACAGCTCACAATCACCTGTAACTCCAGTTTTTGGGGCTCTGACGCCCCCTTCTGGTCTCTGCAGGCCCCTGTGTGTATTTGGTGCGCATACATATACTCAGGTGTATATACACACTTGTGCACTTTAAATATATATATATTAAAAATAAGAGCAAGACTTAGTGGCCTTTCCCAGGAAAACACACATAGATAAAACCCTGTCTCAGGCTCCCAGCCCTTCTGATCTAACCTGGGCCACAATTCTCCCAAGTTACACTTCTCAGTGGAGGCCAAACACGCTTTGAGGGACTTGGAAGTTAGGAGAGAGCTAAGACGGGCAACATTTTTATCCTTATATTCACTAGAAGAGATTAGTTTTCAAAATTAGTCTGGGGATCTGCAGTCGTTTGTATTTGAATGTGGCAGTTCAGACTCCTGGCCCTAAACAGAAAGCCAGTTGTGTTGCCAGTGGAGGTGATGCGCAGAGCCTCCACCCTGCTGCCTCCGCAGAGTTAGCCATCCCGCCATCCCACAGGGCGTTTGGACTGAAGCTGATTTGTTTTGCTCTTAGTGAGTGAAAGCTGTCTTAAGTGGCCTGACTGTAAATTCTGGGTCACCCTTCACTGCTCGTTTGTTTCCAACTGCAGTTGAGAAGTTAGTTACATGGTAACCAACTTTCTATTGTTGCTGTTATATCTGAGGGGAGATTCACCGGGCCAGCCTTGAGTTTTAGTCCTTTCATTTAGCTCCATAAATCTAGAAAAATATGTGAATATTCCCTTGGCACGGTGGGGGTGGGGTTCCTCCTTTCTGGGGATGGCGGAAAGAGTTGCTTCCCAGCAGAGGTCTGTGGTGAGCTTTCCCACAGGCTCTGTGCCGCGGTCTGTAGCCATTTAGAAAATCGCTTCCCCGCCAGGTGTGAACTCTGGACAGACATGTGTGGCATGGAAGTTGAGCGTTTTATGAACCAGTAGTTCACAGTAGACTGGGTGGGGCTGCCTTCCATTATGTGGAATAAATCCCACCAGGATGGTGACGTCAGCCTCTGCCCCTGACCAAGCTTTTGACCTATTCCCTCTGTAGGTAACAGTAACTGGACTCCAGAGATTTGTGCTCTTAGATATGGGCATCCCCCAGTCTCCAAGCCAGCCTAGTGACATCCCTGACCCCTCTTCTTTCTCTCGACAGCATGTGTGTGGTTGTGTGTATGGAGGGTGTCTCAGTGGAATTGTGCAGACTGGGGACTGAATGCGGGAAAGCATATGGTTATCTTCTGGGACCACATTTAGGACATAACCGCGCTGCGTCCTAATAATGTTGAACCATTTACTTTGGTAGGTAATTGAAGCCTGCCCTGGCCAAGTAATAATCTAGCTTAGAGAGAGCGCTAACAAGTTACTGTTAGATTTAATTTGCTCCCTAACCCATCCTGTGAATATCAATGCTAACAACGGTGTCTTGTGTTTTTTTTCTTTTTCTCCTTGTGTTTTTTTTCTTTTCTTTTTTCCTTAAATCAATGTGCTTTTTTTTTTCCCTGTGTGAATAATTATATGTCTAGAAACAGCCATGGAGTGACTTTGCTGTTCTGAATGGGGGAAAGATTAATAGTGACATTTGGAAGGCAAGTATATTGTCAGATTTTAGATCATTTAATATTTTTTTTTGTTCCTTTCTGCATGGCTGTGGCTGTTTACTTTTCTCCTTCATGAATACCATGCATTCTGCGGGGACAGAGCTGTGGGGCTTCTTGCCAGGGGCCTGCCGCTCACATTTCACATTGTCTGTTTTTTCTTTTGGGATGTCTCCCATCGTGAATGACTTCAAGCTGGTGTGTCCCTGGTCCCCTGTTGTCCTGTAAGAACCAGAGCTTGTGAGCCACATCAGCACGCAGCAGCCCTTGCATGCCATTTTTCTGCCTAAGCTCATATCCACTCTGTGCCTTTTGCTGGGGCTTGCGCTCCTCTTTGGTACCCGAGGCAGGGTAACGGGCCCTTCCATTGTACCTTAACAGCATCTTTTTCCCTCCAGGATTTGCACGCAGCCACAGTTAACCCAGACCCCAGTTTAAAAGAGTTTGAAGGAGCAACACTGCGCTATGCATCCTTGAAACTCAGGTAGGAGGGTAGAAGGGTTCGCCAAAGAGGGTGGTTTCTGCACCGAGTCTTCTCAACACCATTCTAAGACCAGTTTTATGTTTCCTTCCTAGAAATGTCCCCCATGCTGATGGTGATGATTCTTGTAGTGTCAACAGTGACCCAGAAGCCAAGGTTTGTAAGAAAGATGCTTTTCAGCAAAGAGCTTATATTGTCACGTCGGAGTAATGGCTCTGAATAGCGCCACCCTCCCCCAGCCACTTGCTAAGCAATTATCTTTTCATTGTCTTTCTTTCTCAGTCTCTGTGACATTTTAAGGAAATCCCTCTTCCAGCTTAGGTTTGTGGTATTTCTGCAGTCACCACCATGCAGACTCTTACCAAGCTGTCCCTGACAGGGATGGCAGCCCTCAGTCAGCCCAAAGATGGGAGAGAGGAGACAGCCGAAATGTGTCAGTAGAGGTGTCGGGCTCTGTGGGCTAAGTGGTTGGAATGTGTGTTCCGGTCACATGCTTCTCAGCATATAGCCACTGTGCATCTCGGAGCAGCTGTGGGTCATTATTAGGGAGAATGGGGCACATCCTGAGGAGAACCAAATCAGAAACTTGAGAAGACGTCTTCAAACTTAAACCTGCTTCAAGTGACCTCTGTCCCACCCTTGATCCAGAAGGTCCCCCATGGTGAAGAAACTAACTGTGAGGGGAAGGGGCTGCAGGGCTTTGGTGCCTTCATGGTAATCACAGTGCACATTGGCCTCCCAGTTTCTTAGAGCCTGTAACTGTTTCCTTGTGCTTCGTTTTACAATCATCAGTGCAACTCAAGAACACTTGTGTATACACTCGCGGGCGCACACACAGACGGGCAGACAGACAAGCACTACAAAAGATATTTAATTTCATATTGTATAGAATTGTAAATATAGTCTGTGAGGTGCAATCATCCAAAGGACCCAAGTCTGGTTTCCAGCAGCTAACAACCACCTATAACTTTGCTGTCAGGGACCTCCATGGTCACACCTAAGCAAGAAGTATGTACTCTCTCATGCACATAAACTCAATTTTTTCCATATGTCATATCTAAAGCTCACATGCTAGGAAGGTAAGAATAATGGCTAGACTAGTTGTCTGGTGAACCCTGTAAATAGAAATGGCAGCGTCCATACAAGCACACATGGCAGAGTATGTTTATAACTGAAAATGTTTGTGAGCCTTCTTAATGTTTTAGACATTAAATACGCCTTGTAATTGGCAGTCGTCTGTGTGTGAGCTTGTATGTAATTCTGAAACCTGATCTTATTTTAAAATAATTAGGATTCACTGAAGTTCTCTGGCTTGAATCCCCTATGCCCTTCGCCCTGTTTTCCCTAATGTTAACATCGTCATAATCACAGAGCCGTGCCGCATTCAGTTTCTCGCTAATATCCTCTTTCTACCCGGCATCCGTCGATTCTATGTGCAAATAAGGAGCGCTTTGAAAGTTACTGCACATGGCCCTTTCCGCAGTTCTCTGGCTCGACCTCCTTAACTTCATTATTGCTAGCCATTATTGCTATTTAATTAGTAGCACTGTCCCCTCGCCCCCATTTAGGCCGTGGCACCATTGGCACGGTTCGCAACACTGCAGAGCAGAGCTACAGCCTCCTAAAACATGGGCGTCATTTTTCTCTCTTCGATTACTGCGTTGGTAGAGGTTGCCGAAACTGATATTGCTAGGTCAAAGGCTATCAGTCTTATGGCTTCTGTCACTTCCTGGAAAACTGCTTTCAGAAAGCCTACAGTGGCATTCAGTCCTATCGCTAGTACCGCAGCTTCCCCACCCACCCACATCGCAGGTCACCCGAGGCTTTGCTGTTCTTTATCTATTTGTCTTGGTTTTATTGCATATGAACTATTACTTTCTAGTATTAAATTTCTCTTCTCCCTTCACCTCCTTGCCTCTGCCCCCCTCTCCCTGTATTAAAGATTCAACCCCATAGTTGCAGGCTTGCCAAGGATATATTCTACCACCGAGAGCCATGGCCAGGCTTAAAATCCCTTGTTAAATGATCAGCAATTTCTTACAGAATAATTTAAAGCCCTTCAGTAAGCATTCTGTTCTGATTTGACCAGCTTCTTCTACTGTCCTCTCTTGACTCCAGGATATAATCCACAAAGCCACTTGCATTTAGTCCCTAGAGGTTTTTATACATGCGAAACTTGTCTGCCATGGTAGTCTGAGATGATTCTCGCCAATTATTTCTTTTCCTCCTCACTGACTTTTATCAGGGAAGCAAACGTTTTCAATACACCACACGTCTAGGCCTTTCACGGGTAATCACATGACCCCTGCTCGCCATACTTTTAGGCATCCAGGTAGGAAGCACTCACTAACCAAGACTCCATTATTTGCAGTCTTTCCTGGGCTCACCCATACCCCTGCTTTGAAGTCTCAAGTTTGGTCCGTCTCCTAGGACACACAGTGCATTGCTGACCAAAAGCATGGTTAACACTAAAGTAAAGTCAAATTGTGGGAAAGTTAATGCTTTTTAATATATTACAAAATCAGTTCCTTCCTGTCCTTTGTTATGACTGTTCACGTTTCTGTAAAGGAGATTTTGTGCCACCTGGTGGTCAGTATTGGGGATTACACCTTCAAAGAGAAGAACTTTTGGAATCATTGAATTGAATAGAACTGAAAGTGGTTTTAAAGATTTAAAAAAAAAAATCTTCTAGGGATCTGCAGTTAGTGTCAGAAGCAGTGTTGAACATGGCTTTCCTGAGCCTCTAGCTACGCGATGCTACTATCTTTGTTGTAGCATATACCAAATCACTTTTCCTGAGGAAGGGCTTTGAGGAGGATGTTGCTCTCTGAACTCACAGTAAAGGAAGCGGATAAGCAAGATCACGTTGGCCCAAGCATCAGATTCTTTGGGTTTCAAATTCCTGATCTGTAAAATGGCTGTGCCTCATATTAGAAGTCCCTCCTGATTCTGAGACGTCGTTGAGATTCGTATGAAATGTAGCAGCCCTAGTCCACAGCGTTTGGAGATGAACTGGCCTCGTCTGTCCGAGTCTTGAGAAGGAGGGGTACAGGGCAGGCTCCTCTTTCACAGCCCCTACGCTCTGTCTGCTCATGAACTTGTCCTGCAAATGCAAGGACTCCTGGCATTGTAGATAAGAAAGCGATGCTTTGGACCAGATTGAGAATCCATTTCACAGTGTGCTCACCTGCTAGTGCGTAGAAATGAGGCTTGAACTCTGGTACATAGGACTCCCCAGCCCAAGCGAGTGTCAGGCGCACATGTTCCAAGCTACTGCTTCCCCAGGCCTCAGGTCCCTGTGGCTGTCTGACTAGATGGGGTTGAGGTAGCAGAGTTGCTCGAGGTGGGCATCAGTTGTGGCCTAAAGATGGACTTCTCATTCTCTTCTGGAAGCCTGTGGCCCATTGCTTTGCAGTATATTGTTCTTGGCAGCTTGGTCTGATTGGCCTGGTGTGGGACAAAGGGTCACGCTGCCGAGCCCAGGAACCACATGGATGCAGCAGGCCTACAGAGAACGCTATGTGGGCAGCACTGTCAAGTTTGAAACTTGGTCAGAAGAAGATGTGGTTTTGGTGCATCTTCTGCATGGACACGAGCATGCCTTTTCCTGCAGTCCCCTCTAGTGCTGTGGCTGTTGGCAGTTAGTGCTTGGTTACTCAGGCGTTTTATTATCCAGGCCCTGGGTCTGATGAGAGCTTTGCTTGTGCCCTGCCCTTGCTGCACCCTGCCCCACATGGAGAAAGAAAGGAATGAGCCAGTCAGGGCTAGGTACACTCAGAGGAACTCTCAAATGGGATATGAGCACGGAGTTCTAACATTTCTCTTGAGATTTGTTTATCTGAGCCTTCCCTTGATTCCTATTAGCATAGATTTCCATGAAGTAATTATATTAGCCAGAAGCTGACTAGATTAACCCTAATAGATAAACAGGAAATCGCAGGGAGTGCCGGCTCTCACTCAGAGATTTATTTCTGACCTGTAACAAATTCGTTATCATTGCTTAGCATTTCTGTGGGATTTTATAGCTCTGAAAATCGAAAAATGTTCCTGTGGTTTAGATCAAGTTTTCTCCAGAAATTCGGAACTGTGGGAGATGCTGGGATTGGATTTGCATGGAGGATTCATTATTTAAGTGGGAGCATTTGTCGAATGCTTCGTGCCAGAGGAGCAACAAACTTAGTACTCCCTGGAACGGGTAAGACATGTGCTCTGGACCTGGACTGCCTAGGTTCAAGATCAAGGTCTGCTGTTTATCACCAGGTGACCTTACGATCTTGTCCTCTGCATCACATAATAGAATACGGCAAAACTCGGCAGCTGGAAACCGTTTTATTTTGCTCATGACTGCGAGTTTTGGGAACCTGCGCAGAATTCAGCAGCACAGCGGTGCAGTTCCTCTCTGATCCACTAGTGGGCAGCAGCACCCGGAGGATCTACTTTAGTGCTCCCCTTCACAGGACACATCCTCCAGGGCCACTCTGTGTTGCTTGGACTTTTATCAGACGAGGTCACTGGGTAGGAAGAAAAGGATGCCAAGGCGAGAGACGGCTTTTCTTGGAACTGATACCATCATGATACCATCCTATCCTGTTAGTCAAAATAGAGTTCCAGTTCAAGAGGTAGAGAAATAGACTCTTGATGGGAGAGCGGCAGGGCCACAAGACAGGGAGACTATGTTGGGAAGCGTTATTATGACAACTCTGAGAGAGAAAATAATACCCAGGCATTGGCCATTCAGAACGAATGCCCTTTTTGAAGGACCTTGCATATCTACATGATTCAGTCACGAAACAAGTCCCAGAGCCCCTGACGAATGTACTCCATCCCAGCTAAATGAGATGTACCACTGAGGCGTGGCTTTTGGGTGGACGTTTATGGAGGGAATCATAAGATCTCTTTTCCTGTCTCAGCCCCAAGAAGGAAGAGCCCAGTGCTCTGCTCAGACATAGCTGGCCACAGAATAGCAAGGCATGATGCCAGGCTGCCCAAAAGCCCTGCATGGTCTGGTCCATCTCCTCCCCCAGACTCCCCAGCCCACAGCGGTGCTGACACACAGTGCCATTGGATAGAGCTCATTTTCCTCTTAGCCCAGAGGACAGATTTTTGTATTTCTAAAGCTGTTTCCCTGGCTTTATTTGCCAACATGGCCAGGCATA